GGTGAGAATACCCACTGCAAGCATGTCAAACTCAAAGGCTAACATGGGCCACATAAACAAGGTTTAAGTTTATGTGGGCTGCAAAAAACACAAAAACTTCAATTTTCATAGACACGTAGGTTTATTTCGATAGAAACATGCTGAATACAAAGGGCTGGAATGAATGAATCATTAACATAAAATAATAGAACATTTTAACAAAAATTAATATTTTTTCTTGAACGTTAACTTACCAGATACTGAATAACTGCACAAATTAACAAATGTAACACAAAACTATTTTTCTTGTACTCTGTAAGCGAAATATTTCCTGTTATGCACACCGAACAAGTCAGTACAAGACTAATGACGTGGCAGTGCTAAAATATTCGCTGCTAAAATAATGAATATTAGTGCTATTTAGGGCAATCGGGTGCTAAAATATTCGCTGCTAGTATTAGTGGAGAGAAATGGTGCGCCTGTGCGTAAGGCATGTAAGGGAAATGAATGCAACACTATTATAGTAATCAGTCATTAGCGAATGCTGTTGTTCATTATTAATAATTATCTATAACAGGATATTGTAAAAATTAAGTTATGAAATTTTTATTAAAACATTTCTTACATACCGTTATATTGGCTGGGCCACAAAAATATTAGTTGTAGGCTGCATGTGGCCCAGGCAGGTCATGAGTTTGACATGCTATGTGTATGGTGTAAATAGGTGGTCTACTTTCATTTTTTTGTATGTATCTGCCCAATTTCCCCAACACCATATTGAAAAGACTGTCTTGACTCCATAGTATGTTCTTGCCTTCTCTGTCAAATATTAAGTGAGCATAATGGCTTGGGTTGATTTCTGGGTTCTCTGTTCTATTCCATTGGTCTATATGTCTGTTCTTGTGCCAGTACCAGGCAGTTTTGAGAACAGTGGCTTTGTAATATAGCTTGATATCTGGTATTGTGATCTTTCATTTAAATTCTTTATTGTTTAAAGTATTACATAAGTCTCCTTTTCCCTTCACTGAACTCTCGCCAGCCGCTGTCACCTCCCAGCACATGCCCTCACCCCACTACTGACTATGTCCGTTGGTTATGCTCATATGCATGCACACAAGTCCTTTGGTTGATCTCTTACCCTCCATCTCCTTTGCCTTCCCTCTTAGGTTGAATGGTCCTACAAGTCCTTTGGTTGATCTCTTACCCTTCACCCTTTCCTTTGCCTTCCCTCTAGGTTGGACGGTCTGTTTGATGCTTAAGAAAAATGCCATCAATTTCTGGATATTAATTTTGTATCCTGCTACATTGCCGAATTCATTTATTAAAGCT